TGGACAGCAGCTCATGGCCCTGAGGGACTACCAGGAGCACAGATCCCTGTTGACCCAAAGATGATCATGTCCAGGAGACAGAAACCTTTTTAAAAATCACCTACATTTGGTGTGGGAAGGAGAATTTTTTGTTACTGCAACATAATCTAACTTATCCTAACCAAGAGAATTATATTTACAAACTTCAGATACTCCCAATGGACAGTGGAACAGTGGTTACAAAGGAATTAGTGCCTAAAAATGACCTTTGTTAGTTGTCTTAATACCTTCCTGAAGGTAAAAATTTACTAAAACATTCTCCACTTGCCCACTTCAGTTGTTATAAAAGACAGTTCTGTGTGTGTGGCTATGTCAAGTGATATTTTCAGATGGTAGTAAAAAAAATCACATCATGTGCCTCATGCATTTTGCTAAGTGGCCAGCATATTCAGCTGTAGTGGCCCTAACCATTTATAGACTGATTAGTGTTAAGAATCCCAGGGTGACTATCTAGGCCGGATGGGATATTCAAGCCATCTTTCACAGGCTGTCAATTCCACTTGTGGGACCACTTGTGTTGGCTTATTATTAGTCAATGTATTTTTGTAAGCCTGCAGGGGGAAAAGAAAAGAACTTCGCATTGGGTAGTATTAAGAGATCATGTGGAGAGATGTTCAAACTTTGTAACCTTTCTTTCTTTCTTTCTTTTCACTTTCACAACTTTTCACTTTCACAACACTTTCACAAATACAGTTACCTTCTCATTATCATCTTGTCCGAGATCACATAGGCATAACAGGGACTTAAATTTAGAAAGCCTAAAGCCAGAGCTGGTGCTTGTGATCCCCAAATCTTCCTGCTTCTAGAACAAGATGGAATAGAGCACTGAGTGCACATGTAAGAAAGCATTTGTCTGAGAAGTGAGCCAGGCAAAGAAGTGGGGAACAGCACTTGGAGCACAGAAGCAGCAGGTGGAAGGCCTGAGCACTGCAGTAGTCACGTTAGAGGGTCTTAAAGATGACCACCCTGCTAGACCTTCATGAGCAGGAGGAACAATGAAACTGCAGGTACATGCCTTAGGTAGGGAAAAGAAAGCACAGCGCTTCCTGCTGTGAATAGGCCTTTTTTATGTACAAATGTCTTATAGGAAAGTCTATGAGACAGTTGACCTGATGCATTGGTATCAAGTAAAATCTAAATCATTTTAAATCTTAATATTTCTTTCACTTATAGCTTTCATAAGAAATATTAAGCAAGGTAATGTAGCTCAGTGATAGAGTACTTGCCTAGTGTGCGTCAAGCCCTGGACTTGATCCCCAGTGGTGCATGCAGACACAGAACCTGGGGAATTGCAACCTAGTGGTGTAATTACAAAGCTTCTCTTGAATATTAAGGCACAAGCATTCATGTTAATATACAAACATGGTTACAGGGGGATAAAGGAGCCTTTTCCTCACCCATCACTACAGATTTAATGAAAGAGATTTGAAAGAGTGAATTGAGGAGCGCTCTCTCTCTCTCTCTCTCTCTCTCTCTCTCTCTCTTTCTCTCTCTCTCTCATCACCTCCCAGTGCTGTTGCAGGGAAAATGCTTCAGAAAAGTCGTCAAACCAATTCTAGCCTTCATCAGAGGGAGAGCTCCTTGCAGCATAGATTCTATCTCAGCTTGGAATTAACATTTTTAGTGTCTCATACGGTATCTGTTAGTGAGTCGTGGAATCTTTTGGAGGTGGGCAAGCAGAAAAGTTGGGGGGAAGGGAGAGAGAAGGAGGGAGGAGAGGGAGAGAGGGGCCTCAGCGTTTTCTTTCCTGAAGCACAAAAACTGGTAGAAGTTAGCAAGGGGCTGAGCTGAGTCTGGCCAGACCCTTGAACCACCAGGGACCATCAGGTTTCAGAGGGCTAGAGGGAGATGCTTATTTTCCTACATTTTCAGAATTTTTTGTGGGATCATTCCAGCAACCTGACTTGGTTTTTTTTTGTCTTAGGAATGTTGGTTTTTATCTAGGAAAATCTGATATGAAGACTGATGAAAGGAGAATAAAGAATATTATATATTTTTTTAAGGTGTGCTTCCTTTCTATTGTTCCATTTGTGTGGGTATTATTACGATTGCCTTGGTCCTTAGCAAAAACCTGAGTTTCTCAACATCATTTCAGCAAAAATTGTTATGCTAATAATAGGAAGGGCTTTTGATCTTGCTAATTAATATGGAACTTGCCTAACTTGATTATATGATTCTGCCAGAAAATGGGTTTCCATGACTCACTAAGTAACAGATACCGTATGAAACACTAAAAATGTTAATTCCAAGCTGAGATAGAATCTATGCTGCAAGGAGCTCTCCCTCTGATGAAGGCTAGAATTGGTCTGATGACTTTTCTGAAGCATTTTCCCTGCAACAGCACTGAGAGGTGATGAGAGAGAGAGACAGAGAGAGAGAGAGACAGAGAGAGAGAGAGACAGAGACAGAGAGACAGAGAGAGACAGAGAGAGAGAGAGAATGGCATAATTCTGCCAGAAAATGGGCATAATAAATTTCAAACAAATCTTTCTCTTGCTGTCTTATCCCAGTTAAAATCTTACTGTATGTTGTTATCGGAAAATGGGGCTTTCTTTTCCTTGATAAAGTGTCAGTGCATAATTTATTTTAATTATTTTTGCAAAGTAGTCCCCATATTGCTTTTTCCTGGCTAAAAAGTGAGAACCTGGCATACTACAACTATGAATAATTGAGTAATCTACTCAATAAATGTTTATTGCATACCTAATATGTCACAGGCCATAGGTACAGTGCTGGAGACACTGTGGAGAACAGAGGCACAGGCTAACGCTCTCATGTGCAATAGAGACAGCCTGAGATTCAGGCCCGCATAGGGGCCCGTGTTTCAACTCTAACCTAAGTCTGTCTGCGTGCCACATGTTGCTGGGGCCAGAACAGTGGAGCTGAGGCGACTAAGTAGATAGCAGAGCATTCATTGGGGGAGGGGAGGGAGGACAGGCCAAAATTTTGTAGTCTATGCTGAAGGAAAGCAAGACCTCCTTTGCAGTACAGTTGATAGATTTTGCATGAAAATAAACTTTGAGCAGCTACCAGCATGGTGATGGAATTGCTTGCTTTGTTGTATTCCATGCATACATCACTGTATAAAAAGAATGTTGCATCAGGCTGACAGAGACAAGCAGAGCAGGAACAAGGAGGAGAAACCATCCGAAGATAGTTTGCATGGTAATATTGATTAAATTCATCAGTACACTGTAGAAAGAGATTGGCCGTTCATGTCAGAACTGTACACAATTTGTAGTTTGTTGTATGTGTACTCAAGTAAACTAGAATAATCTGTATATAAGGACTGATTAAAACATACGATATATTTAAATTAAAAAGTTTATTATTGTAAGACGCATTACTATTAATCACCTTAAAATATTCCCCCTCACTGCAAACACACTTACCCTTGTTCTCACCATTTCCTGAAGCAGTTGAGGAAAGCCTCGTTCATGAATGTCTTTAGGTGTAATAAAGGTGTGATCAAAAATATGGTGAACGTTGCTGTTGAGTGCTATTCAACACAAAGGCAGGCTTGTAAAAACATTGCCATATGTCCTCATCCACCTTTTCACTATAATAAATCTTTTAAAATTTAAACATTCATTGTATTTTTTATCAGTGTATAAAAATTGTTTCACTTGTATATTCTCATTTCATTGTACAAACTGAATAATTTTGAATCTCTTTGTCACCAGAAGTCCTATATTAAAGACCAATCAGCATGAAACTCCTCAGGCAGGAGCTACAATTTATCTTGCCTTCTGCTGAGTCTCTAGTAGGAAGTCCATGTGCCTGTGTGGTCCTTTGTCATGATCTTTGCCTGGCTGCCCAGGCTTTTTGAATACCCTTTCTCTGTTTAAGAAATGATTCACCTTACAAGTCCTAGCTTCCCCAAATAGAAACCAGAAAACAAATTTCATAGCCTCCACTGTGGCTAGGGCAGAGGCACGTGACCCAAGATCCACCAACCACGTGCACCCACAAGATTTCTGTTAAGAAATGAACACAACAGAGCAGTCTTTTCCCCAGTCTAACTTTTCTAGGCAGGGTGACAACTGAAGCGTCAGGCTTTCTCCTCCAGGAAGTTTCCCTGAACTTTGCCTTCCTTTTCCAGGTGAGCTATGTTAGGTACTACTCCTCTAACTCCACTTTCTCATTATGCTTTACCATTGTATTACAATTACTAGCACCTTTTATTAGGTTATAATCTGCTATAGTAGTTAAGGTAATACTGTTATAACTAGCAAACCAAAAAGATATGTTGAATCAAACACAATACAAGTTTATTTCCTCACATAAAATATAAAGGGAGTACTCTGGATGACAGATAGCTTCCCTGAGGAGATGATTTGGGGGTCCAGGCATCTTGCACCTCACGGCTCCACCATCTGTAGCAGCTTCCAAGGATTTGACCTAGGCCAGAAGGCCTGGAGGTGATGCTTCTTACTTATGTTCACATTTTATGGCCCAGAACTCGCCTGCCTGGCTGTACCTACCTGTAAAGTACAGTCTAGCTTCTTCTGGGTGTGAGCACACTGACGTCAGAAAGTTGTGGTAGAGTGTCATGTCCTAATGTGTGTCTTCTCACTTCCATCCTTTTTCCACATTGGAGAAACAAAATTACTTCTGCTAGGGTTAACACATTTAGCCTGTGTGAATCACAAACAGATATGGCTCTGGTCTGGATTCCTTTTGCTTGACTCTCCAGTGCTTTTTTGCTAAGCATTTTGTTTCAGGGACACGCATTCATTGGATGGTTATTTCTGAATGCTCTGCCTAAAACTGCTTTTATCTCCAGGCTCCCCATGTGTCATTTTGAAAGGGAAAGTGCTTAGCAGGCAGCCTGGATGCCACATGCGTTCTAAGCTGCTGGCACGTGGAAGAGTTAGGAAGTTCCAAATCATTGCCTATTGGCCACCCGCAGACTAATGATGGAAATGTCTCTTTATTTTCCCTGCTTCTCCTGGACCTAGGTGCCTTATCAGCAGCAAAGGAGAGCTGGGAATATGACTGTGGTGCCAGGGACCTCCAGAGCCCAGACTTGCACGCTCAGTCAGCCCTGCAGAAGCTGCTCGAGTGTGGCGGAAGCACTGTGCATCAGCAAGCTGCTCTCCACAAACTGCTCACACAGCTCTCACATTTTGGCAGCTCTGTAGGAGGGAGCTACCTAGAGCTGGCCAACACGGTGAGTATGTTTCGGTTCGCAGAGCACATCTACAGGTCAGTCTACATTCCAATACAAACATTTCAATTCTGAGCTCCAGGTGACATATTGGATACTGTCTTCTTTACTGAGCCACATCTTGTACCATTTCCAGCACTGTCATAATGTTTAGTGCTCCAAAGCTGCTAGTCAGTGAGGGGCTGCACTGTCATTATGAAGAGCAGAGCAGCGAGGTATGGTGGTGCATGCCCGTAATCCCAGCAGCTGGGAAGCTGAGGCTGGAGGACTACTGTGACTATGAGCTTAAGGCCAGCCTCAGCTACATAGTAAGTTCAAGGTCCGACTGGACTACATAGCAAGACCCTGCCTCAGGGGAAAAAAAAACCCAAAGACCAGTGAACTCTTGAAAGGTGTTTTGATTAAGTCCATAACTTGTCCAGGTTTAATTACTAGAAAATCTACAGTAGCTTTCCAATAACTGGAATACTTCAATGGGACCAGACATAAATTAATAGGATATACTTCTTTCTGTTTCCTAATTTGGGCTTCTGTTTCCTAATTTGAGAGCGGAGAAGTGGGACAAGTGGCTGATGATCTGGAACACTGCAGGGGATACAGTCTACACCTTGAGATTCTACCCCCACACTGTGGGAAGGTCAAAAACCTACTTGGTCTTTTGCAACTAAGTTCAACTGGTGGAATAAGCATCCTCACTACTTTGACTTGTACATATATTCACATTCTGCTTTGATGTAGACCAGAGGTTTACAAACAAATGTATGACATATTTCCAAATTCAGACTTTTTTTGGTGAGATATTTGAAGGAACTAACAACCTGGATGTTATGGTTTGTGTCTGGGTGTCCCCCAAAGCCTCTTGTGGTCTTGGGGCAGGCTTTTAGAGTTTGACTGATTATGGGTGTGAGAGCTACACCCGCCCTGGGGTGGATAGTTTGCATATGTAAGGGAGAGGAAAAGGGTGCTTGAGGCCATTCCGTCCTCGTGTGTGTTGTTGCTTTTGCTGTGTTCTGCTGCCATCAGCTGTAGCCCTCTGCCCTGTGCCACTCTGCTTTGTAATTTGCCAAGTATGGACTGGAAACCTCCACAAACTGTAAGCGAAATAAACTTTTCCTTCCTTAATTTGGGGCATCAGGTATTTTGTCCCAGCAATGAGAGAAAAGTAACCAAGACACTGGAATATACTAGCAATAATGAAAACATAATAATTAGACAAATCCCAATTAAAGGATGTTCTGTAGAATGTCTAAACAGTACCCTGCAAAACTGTTGAGATTAACAAAAATCAGTAAAGTCTCAGAAGAGAAACTATCTGCTCAGAGCAGCCTCAGAAGATCTGACCTAATATAGTGTGGTGCTCTTCATGGGATTCTGGGACAGAAAAAGGGCATCAGGTAAAAACGTAAGGAAACCTGAGTAAACTATAGACCTTAGCTGACAGCGTCACAATATTGGTTCATTAACTGTGATAAAAATTGCATAACGAGTATAAGATGTTAATGAATAGGGAAAACTGTGTGTGATATATGAGCGCACTCCATCCAGTCTGCAACTTTTCAGTAAATCCAAAGCTATTAAAAATAAAAATTATTAAAAGCACATACATACAAAAGGTATACGACTATGTCTCCTAAAGTCTGCCAAAGCATCCATAGAGTTACTGTACTGTTCGTCACGTGGCCGCCCCTCAATGACAATCTTGCACAGCCTGAGAAGAATTATACTGTTCTGCTTGCCTCCTGTGTGCTCAGTAGACCAGGAAACTTGATAAATTTGTATGTCATTTTCCTGACACAGACCTAGGATAGGCAGTGCCTCTTACAAATAATCTGCAAAACAGAAGTGTAACCTTGCTCTGTGCTGCACCAGCTAAGCCTTTCTTTAGGACAACTATTGCCATGACAGCATAGGTTATAGCAAATCAGTGCACACCTTCATCAGATTTTGGTGGCACCACCGCCTGGCTGGATTTCTGTTCTCGGGAGCCACAGCTCAGAGTTCTCACATGCCCTAAATTCATGCACCCAGTTTGTGCACTGTTAGTGTCAAAAGCAAGGAAACACTACCTGAGATCACCTCTGCAGGAGCCAGCTTCCAGAGCATTCCCAGAAATGTAAAGATGCAGGTCACACAGGAGCAGCCACTGAGGGGCATTCAGGAATGTTTACACACTTGTAGCTTACATACTTTTCTGTGTGCACACATCTATAAAATGTTAATGAATCTGCCCATGGCAGCGAGTGCCTGTAACTCCAGCATTCAGGGAGGCTGAAGCAGGAGGATCGCAAGTTCAAGCCTAGCCTGGGCAACTTAGTAAGACCTGTCTCAAAATAAAAACTAACAAGGGCAGGAGATGGAGTTGAAAGAAAAACATTATTAGCGATACGGCTATTCACTGGAACACACTGAATAAGTTAAAAAAAAAAAAACAGGTGTAACTTTATAAACAATTGCCCCACCCAAATGAGCAGATAAATAAAGTTGTACATGATCACTTCAGGGGATCCCTTGGTCAGAACTGGAGTGTAATACAAATGCCTGCATGGTAGTCTTATGACAGCAGCATTTTTGCACTGAATGAAAAATTTTAAAAATTTAAAAGCCATTTGAATTTGCCTTTAAGGATGACTTTGTAGTGAAGGATTTGTGTTGGTTCCAGTTACACATCCATTCCTATATCTTCACCATTTGTCATACAGCTCTGGAGTTTTTCAGGTGTGTGAGAATCACAGGTCAGTGGTGGCGAACCTATGGCACGTGTGCTGTGGCGGGCTTTGTTATCATGGAAAGCTCTAAAAGGTCTGGGATTGCTGTCCTACGTGGTCACTATGTTAACCACTGCGTTCCGAGGGTTCTGTTTCAGAGCTGTAGTTGACTTAGGGTCTGCTCAGGAGTCTGTGGAGCCTCATTTGAGAAATACCCCTCCCATGTGGCCAAAGAAAGCAAATAGCCTCTTTAAACTGCACACATGGGCAATCTTTTTCTTTATAAAATCACATTAAAGGTAATTCTTCTAAAACTAAGTCTTGAACTGATAAAATGAAGGCATTTATCAGTGTCCATTTAGGAGACAGGAAACACACAGTAATTCACACAGGAATAGTTTAGTATAAAGAACTATTAACAAGCTGAGAGTGGTGGCACATACCTCTAATCCCAGCACTCTGGGAGGCTGAAGCAAGACAATGACAAGCTCGAGCTCAGCTTGGGCAACTTGGCACCTTAGTGACTTAGCAAGACTCTGTCTCAAAACAAAAACGAAAAGCTGTGTGTGCATGCATGTGCACATATATGTGTGTGCAGCTCAGTGAGAAGAGCCCAAATTGAATAGCCAGTACTGAAAAAAAATTAACTAGTAGCCAAGGGTGACCTACTAAGGGGTAAAGGAAGAGGGCCCTTCCCTCACCGAGGGCTGGTTCTGTCTCTGCAAGGAGGGACAGCGGTGCCCTTGAGAGGCAAAGCTCCCTGAGATACGTGGGCCAAGGCTGGCAAGCAGGAGGCCACTCTGGAGAGCATGAGTCCAACTTGCTGCAATGCCACGCAGCGGGGCATCTGCAGAACTCATGGAGCGTCTCTAAGAAAGCGTCCACAGAGGAGCCAAGAGTTCCCTCGATCGCTGGGGAAACAGAGGCAACGCACACCAGGGTTTCCCAAATGGTTCCACTAAAGTGAGCATCGGGGATGCTGGAATCTAGACAACCGTACAAGAACCAAATGAGCCTGAAAGAGCACAGCAGAGCCGCGTCGGGATTACCTGTCTCCCTCCAGTGTCCCTCCAGCGCCCTCTATAGACAGAAGAGGCCTGTACCAGACTCAGTCCCAGTACCGCAACACAGGATAAAAAAGTGTGGATCCTGGACGAAAGGCAGCAAACTGAGACCGCCCCGGCATTTTTAGCATTGACAATCTTCTGAACTTCCTCTACAAGGCTTTTTGCTTTCTAAGCATCCCTTCCTTTTCTCTCACCACCAAGCCCCTGTCTTCTCCTGCTCTCTGAGACCGTGGACATTGTAACTTTGTGGTTAACATACTACTTCAAGGGGGCTGGGGATTTAGCTCAGTGGCACAGTGCCTGCCTGGCAAGCACAAGGTCATGAGTTCGATTTCTGGTACCGGAAAAAAAACTAAACTCCCCCCCAAAAAACATACTGCTTCAAAAAAAGGCAACAAGATGACCCTGTGATTTTATTTTCATTTGTTTCCCTATATTTCTTCATTTAAATGTCTTCACCAATTTTTAAATATATCCTTAAAATGCCTTTATTACAAAGAACTTTTCATTTCTCCTATTATTTTAAGATGCTGCAATCATTATGGTAGATGACAAGTTTGGGCTCTCCATGTTGAAACCTTTGTTCTAGACAGGGTGAATCCCTACTTTTTGGTCAGAGCAAGGCTAATGATTTTGTGGGCGTCCTTTTCTGGCCCTTATTGAGCCCCAAAGAACAAGAGATTCTTCAGCATGGGGGATGCTTGTTATATTTTAGCTTTTTAGGGAAGAAGGACACTGCAAATGAACTACTGGGTTCTTTTAGGAAATTGCTAAGGAACATTCTACAAATTTCAGAAGCTTGAATTACTTCGAAACAACTGACACTAATTTTTTAACAAATAGAACTTGGCTATGGAGACACAGAGACATTTGGCTTTGTGCCGTTGGTTATTTCATGTGCCAGCTCTCTGTGGGGTTTCCCCTGACATCTCAAGTGATGACGTTTATCAGCACAGGTAAACACAGTTGGCTTCATTTCTGTGCAGAAGATAGTAATGTCTTCTGCTGCTGTTTAGGTCAGTCTTCTTTCACTCTGGACAGTTTGGTTTTAATTTTGCCCATTTTAAGATGTAATTTTGTGCTTATTTGTTTGCAAAAGTTGTTTATATTTTTATAGATGAAAAAGGGAGTTGTGCAAATAAAATTATGTGAATTTAAAAACCAGTGTAGTCCTTGCCTAGAATATGTGAGGTCCTGGGTTCAACTCTCATCCTACAAAAACAAAGACAGG